CCATACTTCGGATCCCAAAAAGGAAGGGTATGGGGTTGATTCCCTTCTTTCTTTTGTTCTTTCTTTGTTCATTCATGTCTTGCTTCCTTTGTTTCTTTGTTTCTTCCTTCGTTCCTTCCTTCTTTTCTTTCTTCCTTACTTCCTTCATTTCTTTCTTGCTTCCGTTATTTCCTTCTTTATTTCTTTAGTGTTTTCTTCTTTCTTTCTGTCTTTCTTTCTTTCTTGCTTCCGTCCAGTCTTTCCTTCTTTCTTCCTTTCTTTCTTTTTTTTCTTCCTGTCTTCCTTCCTTTCTTTCTATCCTTTCTTTCCTTCTTTCTTCCTTTCTTTCTTTCTTTCTTTTCTTCCTGTCTTCCTTCCTTTCTTTCTTTCTTTCTTTCTTCCTTCCTTCCTTCCCCCCCCCCCCCCCCCGCTTGGGCTGCCCCCCCGCGTTTGAACCGCTTCCGCCCCCCCCCCCGCCCCTCCCCCCGCCCCTGCCACAGAACCCCCCCCCCCCCCCCCCAAAAAAAAAGGCCAAAAACAAAAAAGAGCCGAAAAAAATGGGACCCCGGAACCTGAGGGCCCCCTACCCTACTTAAGGTCATAACCCATAGTTACTCCCTTCTTGAACAACTTAGAAGTACGCCTGAACCCCGCAGTGTACGCCAAGCCCTCAAGCCCTGAACCTCTAACCGGAGGCCTAAGCCCGAAACTAAACACGTATAGCCTGAACTTCTACACCCTAAACCCTAAACCCCTTAAACCCCTTAAATCCCTAAACCCCCTAAATCCCTAAACCCCTGACACCCTAAACCCTGAAACCCTAAACCCTAAACCCCTAAACCCCTAAACCCTCATCCCCAAGAATTCCAACGGATTCTGGATTTCGTCAGGGTGCCCTACTACCACTCAAGCTCCTGTCATCGATGTTCAGGGTAAAGGCAAAGGGTATAGGGCGTAGAGTCGAATTAGGGTTCATGGTTTGGGGCTTGGGGTTTAGGGTTCAGGGTTCAGGGTTCAGGGTTTAGGGTTCAGGGTTTGGGGTTCAGGGTTTAGGGTTCAGGGTTCAGGGTTCAGGGTTCAGGGTTTAGGGTTTGGGGTTTGGGGTTTGGGGTTGAGGGTTAGGGGTCTTCAAGGGTTCTAGGACCGGAGTCCCTAAAACCCTCTCTGCACGAGCGAGCCTCCCGCGCGAGAGGGCCATGCTCTGCTTCCGCCGTGCAGGGGTGGAAGGGAGGGGGGGGTGCTTGGAAATAACCCCCCAAAACATCCTAAACGCGAAGCTCTGAACTCGAAAACCTCACCCAACGATCCTTTATTCCGTCTGAAAGGGTCTAGAACGTCAAGTCCTATCGGCTATCCCTGGTGGGTTGACAGAATGTGGGGGTGCTTCTGGGCTCGGGAATTTTAGAGCATCTCATTGGGATTTCAGGGTCCATCCAGGGTTTCAGGGGTTTAGGGTTTTAGGGTTCAGGTTTTGAGGGCCTAGGTTCCGAGAGCGCTTTGCTTGTTTTAGGTATTCTACCCATGAACGTTCAAGCAATTTTGATATGTAGGATTTCGAGTTTAGGGCCAGGGATTAGGAGGACTGAGCCCAAGCGGCAGAGACGGAGTGCGAAGGCACTTTGGATGCACTTTGGTATGTGGATGGGTAGTGGGGCATAGAAGCCTTTCGCAGTAAAGGCAACTACTTGAAGGTTCGGGGGTTCAAGCAGGGTTACAAGTACCCCTCATAACCATAGCTACCCTACTTACAACCCTACTTATAAGTACCCGCGAACCCCCAAGTACCCCCAAGCCCTAAACCCTACACTGCCTAAACCCTTTTGGATTCAGAGCAGTCCATACATGCAAGAAACATCGTTGAAAGCGTCCGATCACAGAGGTTGGGGCCGCCATTGAGGTAAAATGGATCTTCTACAAAAGTCAGGGTTTAGGGTTTAGGGTTTAGGGCTTAGGGCTTAGGGCTTAGGGTTTAGGGCTTAGGGCTTAGGGTTTAGGTGTTGGGTTCCAGGGCTCAACCGCATGCTGCCCCACCTTGCACAAGGGAAAGTCCTTGCTTCGCGCTTTACTGGCGAGTCATAGGACGTGTGTGAATTTGTGCATGCCGCCCGGTTGGGAGGGCTCTTCGAGTGTTCACGGTATGATTAGTGCGAGCCTTCTTTCCGGAACTCGCTTGCCAAGCCCAGCCGAGAAAATGGGAGCACACTTGATGCGTGCTCCAGGCGCTGCCCAAAATTGCACGTTGGCACGTGGTGCTTCGTAGTGCTGCGGCCACAAGATGCTACGTCTGGGGAGTCTCTTAGTGTTGGAAATGGCCAGTATAAAGAGCTGACTAGCTTCCATCTTCATGTGGAAAGTTCCCTCCCCAGCTGTCAGCGAGTCTGCTAATCTACAAAAGTCCAGGCCCACGTTACGAGGCCCGCTTTCTTGCTTAGCCCTCGGCTTTGGCAGCGCAGCAACAGCAGCAGCAAAGGCCGATGAAGAAGGTGATGAGGCCGGCAAGGAGGAGAACTACGCCGCAAGCCACCATGATCTGGGCGCTGAACCGGGGTTCAGGCTAAGGCGTAGCTTAAGTTTAGGGAGCTAAGGTTCGGGGCCTGTAGCACTGCAGCCTCTGAACTTCCGAACTCTGGTTTCGGTCGGACATCCCCAAAGCAGCCCTCTTCCTTTGGTTACAGCGGCAATGGCTGTTCCGGCAACCGAGAAGACTTCGCTGAAGACGTCGCACAGCTGCATGGACCACATGTCCTGCACGAGCGATGTCCGCGGTTTTCGGGTTCGGAGCCGGGGGGTTGCAGGAGCTTTGAGGGTTCTGGGGGGGTTCCGATTCTTTCGTTGCGCTGCTGCGCGCACTACGTCTCAAGCAGTGCTTGCGAGGCTGCGCCCTCCTCCCCGCTCGTCAGAGTGACGTCGGTGTCTGTGTCGAAGGTCACCGTGGCAGCCAGCTTGAGATCCTGAGGCTGGAAAAAAACACACACAAACTGGGGGCGTTTAAGCGTTCTCTTGCCTACCGAGAACGCGATCTACCCGGCCGAGGCGCGGTGATCATGGTCTCAGATGCGCCGATGGTCCAGTCGAGGTCCTGCTTGCTGGGGTCGAGCGCTGGACGCCCGCACAAACTACTCGATCACCCACCCACCCCGCCTACACCCCTGGCCCCGTCCCCGAGCCTGCAGGCCGCGTCTGGCGGGCGCACGCTGCGGGCCCTCGTCCGGAAGCTCCTCGCTGCCGCACAGGCTGGTGTCCAAGGTCGCTCCTGGTCACCACAAGACTGCAAGCTCGTCCGTGCAGGTTCTGGCAGCCAGGGCCCCACGAAACTCGAAACTTCAGGAATGCCCTAGAACCGCCGCCCACCCCAAATACGAAGCACTCCTGTGGTAATCACTGCCGTTGAGGAGAAGGTGGGGCAAGAGGCCGCCTTCCTGGGTGCGACGCTTGCTGACGGAACTGTGCCGGGATGCAACTTAAATCGCCTCTCCCCCTGCCCCTGCGGCAACGTGGCCGTTTTGTAGGAAACCGCGGTTGAGGGATGTGGGTTGGCTGGGGCTTCACGCCTACCCAACTCATCAGCTCAGAGCATCAATGATTGCAACGACTTGTTTCAGGCAAAGCGTCTCGATGAAGATCGTGTAGGGACAGTTGAGGTCGCTGGGCGCCATAAGGGTTCCCGTCATCGCTCCGTCGATGGAGGCACTAACCTGGGCCGCTTGCTAACCTGCTTGAACACAAAACTTGTAAATCCCACATTGAGCCGCAGGAAGGGGTGCTTGTGTTCATAGCTTGGCTACGAATGAGCTACCAAGTTTTGACCGGGCACATTGATGCTGATGTTGGCCAGGGAAAGCGCGCCCGCGGCCAACAAGGCGATGCCTGCATCTGCATTACACACCATGGGACTGCAGGGGCTCCAGCAGAGTCTAGGAGGGTCTGGCACCCGAGAAAGGGAGCGGCGGGTGGCGGAGCATGGACATGCAGACATGCATTTCCACACTGGGCCTGCGACGCCCAGCAACAAGCCCAGGCACACGGACACCTTGGAGCATGTCTTCGAACACCTGCACATGGCGCGATGCTCTCGAGGACGGCCGCACCGCAAACTGGGATGAAGCCGGATTCGTTTCAAATGGCTGCAACCACGGGCACACAGAGACATTTTCAGGTGCTTTGCAACAGTCAAAGCTCGCTTTCTTAAGCTCGACACGCGAAAAACTCACACTATTTGGGTAGTTTGGGTTCCCCTTGTCATGAATCCTAGCCACGTGAAGACGGTAAAGATGCACAGCAAGTCATCTGCCACCGTCGTCGACTCATCCTACACTGCACTCTTTTCCAAGATGCTGAGCACGCCTATACAAAACGCAATTCCCTCAGGCAACCTCGCAAAACGAATGGTTGACGCGAGAAGCACGGCGGGTGCGACTTCGCGTGCACTCCTCCAAAAGCACGACTCCTTAACCTGTCTCGCTGCACAGGGTACCATGGGAGGTGCACGTCCCCAGAGCTATCCGTCCATTGACGAGCTCTCCGAGTTCGCTGACCCACTCTGCGCATATACTCGCCCTCGCACTTTACTGGCGAGTCATAGGACGTGTGTGAATTGTGCATGCCTCCAAACAGGCCCGGCTGGGTTTAGGGTTGAGGGTTGCTTAAGTGTTCAAGGTATGTCTAGTCCTTTAGCGAACCTGTTGTGCGCGAACATCTGTTGCTTGAACTCGGTTACAAAGCCTGGCCAAAACACGGGAGCACAGGCGCCCAGGGCAACCTGTCATTTGGTGTGTGCCCCGGGTGCTGCCAAAAATGGCATGTTGGGCACGTAGTGCTTCGTAGTGCTGTGGCCCAAACATGCCACGTCTGGGGAATCTCCTTTTGTTGTTGGATATGCTAGCTTCCTGGCCTCCCAGAGAATGGGTCAGAATGGAGACACGAAATGGCATCCATCTTCATGGAAAGTTCCCTCCCCAGCCGTCAGCGAATCTGCTAATCTACAAAAGTCCAGGCCCACGTTACGAGGCCCGCTTTCTTTCTTAGCCCTCGGCTTTGGCAGCGCAGCAACAGCAGCAGCAAAGGCCGATGAAGAAGGTGATGAGGCCGGCAAGGAGGAGAACCACGCCGCAAGCCACCATGATCTGGGCGCTGAACCGGGGTTCAGGCTAAGGCGTAGCTTAAGTTTAGGGAGCTAAGGTTCGGGGCCTGTAGCACGGCAGCCTCTGAACTTCCGAACCCTGGTTTCGGTCGGACATCCCCAAAGCAGCCCTCTTCCTTTGGTCACAGCGGCAATGGCTGTTCCGGCAACCGAGAAGACTTCGCTGAAGACGTCGCACAGCTGCATGGACCACATGTCCTGCACGAGCGATGTCCGCGGTTTTCGGGTTCGGAGCCGGGGGGTTGCAGGAGCTTTGAGGGTTCTGGGGGGGTTCCGATTCTTTCGTTGCGCTGCTGCGCGCACTACGTCTCAAGCAGTGCTTGCGAGGCTGCGCCCTCCTCCCCGCTCGTCAGAGTGACGTCGGTGTCTGTGTCGAAGGTCACCGTGGCAGCCAGCTTGAGGTCCTGAGGCTGGAAAAAAACACACAAACTGGGGGCGTTTAAGCGTTCTCTTGCCTACCGAGAACGCGATCTACCCGGCCGAGGCGCGGTGATCATGGTCTCAGATGCGCCGATGGTCCAGTCGAGGTCCTGCTTGCTGGGGTCGAGCGCCGGACGCCCGCACAAACTACTCGATCACCCACCCACCCCGCCTACACCCCTTGCCCCGTCCCCGAGCCTGCAGGCCGCGCCTGGCGGGCGCACGCTGCGGGCCCTCGTCCGGAAGCTCCTCGCTGCCGCACAGGCTGGTGTCCAAGGTCGCTCCTGGTCACCACAAGACTGCAAGCTCGTCCGTGCAGGTTCTGGCAGCCAGGGCCCCACGAAACTCGAAACTTCAGGAATGCCCTAGAACCGCCGCCCACCCCAAATACGAAGCACTCCTGTGGTAATCACTGCCGTCGAGGAGAAGGTGGGGCAAGAGGCCGCCTTCCTGGGTGCGACGCTTGCCTCGCCGCCTCCCCCCTCCCCCTGCCCCTGCGGCAACGTGGCCGTTTTGTAGGAAACCGCGGTTGAGGGATGTGGGTTGGCTGGGGCTTCACGCCTACCCAACTCATCAGCTCAGAGCATCAATGATTGCAACGACTTGTTTCAGGCAAAGCGTCTCGATGAAGATCGTGTAGGGACAGTTGAGGTCGCTGGGCGCCATAAGGGTTCCCGTCATCGCTCCGTCGATGGAGGCACTAACCTGGGCCGCTTGCTAACCTGCTTGAACACAACACTTGTAAATCCCACATTGAGCCGCAGGAAGGGGTGCTTGTGTTCATAGCTTGGCTACGAATGAGCTACCTCCATGCCATCCAAGTTTTGACCGGGCACATTGATGCTGATGTTGGCCAGGGAAAGCGCGCCCGCGGCCAACAAGGCGATGCCTGCATCTGCATTACACACCATGGGACTGCAGGGGCTCCAGCAGAGTCTAGGAGGGTCTTGCACTCTCTGATAAGTGGCATCCGAGAAAGGGAGCGGCGGGTGGCGGAGCATGGACATGCAGACATGCATTTCCACACTGGGCCTGCGACGCCCAGCAACAAGCCCAGGCACACGGACACCTTGGAGCATGTCTTCGAACACCTGCACATGGCGCGATGCTCTCGAGGACGGCCGCACCGCAAACTGGGATGAAGCCGGATTCGTTTCAAATGGCTGCAACCACGGGCACACAGAGACATTTTCAGGCGCCTTGCAACAGTCAAAGCTCGCTTTCTTAAGCTCGACACGCGAAAAACTCACACTATTTGGGTAGTTTGGGTTCCCCTTGTCATGAATCCTAGCCACGTGAAGACGGTAAAGATGCACAGCAAGTCATCTGCCACCGTCGTCGACTCATCCTACACTGCACTCTTTTCCAAGATGCTGAGCACGCCTATACAAAATGCAATTCCCTCAGGCAACCTTGCAAAAGGAATGGTTGGCGCTTGCTTGCGCTTCTACTCGCAAGAAGCACGACGGGTGCGATTGCGCGTGCACGTCTCCAAAAGCACGACTCCTTAACCTGTCTCGCTGCACAGCGTACCATGGGAGGTGCACGTCCCCAGAGCTATCCGTCCATTGACGAGTTCTCCGAGTTCGCTGACCCACTCTGCACATATAATCGCCCTCGCACTTTTCTGGCGAGTCATAGGACGTGTGTGAATTGTGCATGCCTCCCAACAGGCCGGCTGGGTTTGGGGTTGAGGGTTGCTTGAGTGTTCAAGGTATGTCTAGTGCTTTGTGCGAACCTGTTGTGCGAACATCTGTTGCTTGAACTCGGCTACAAGGCCCGGCCAAAACACGGGAGCGCAGGCACCCAGGGCAACCTGTCATTTGGCATGTGCTCCAAGTGCTGCCAAAAATGGCATGTTGGGCACGTGGTGCTTCGTAGTGCTGTGGCCCAAACATGCCACGTCTGGGGAATCTCCTTTCGATGTTGGATATGCTAGCTTCCTGGCCTCCCAGAGAATGGGTCAGAATGGAGACACGAAATGGCATCCATCTTCATGGAAAGTTCCCTCCCCAGCTGTCAGCGAGTCTGCTAATCTACAAAAGTCCAGGCCCACGTTACGAGGCCCGCTTTCTTGCTTAGCCCTCGGCTTTGGCAGCGCAGCAACAGCAGCAGCAAAGGCCGATGAAGAAGGTGATGAGGCCGGCAAGGAGGAGAACCACGCCGCAAGCCACCATGATCTGGGCGCTGAACCGGGGTTCAGGCTAAGGCGTAGCTTAAGTTTAGGGAGCTAAGGTTCGGGGCCTGTAGCACTACAGCCTCTGAACTTCCGAACTCTGGTTTCGGTCGGACATCCCCAAAGCAGCCCTCTTCCTTTGGTTACAGCGGCAATGGCTGTTCCGGCAACCGAGAAGACTTCGCTGAAGACGTCGCACAGCTGCATGGACCACATGTCCTGCACGAGCGATGTCCGCGGTTTTCGGGTTCGGAGCCGGGGGGTTTGCAGGAGCTTTGAGGGTTCTGGGGGGGTTCCGATTCTTTCGTTGCGCTGCTGCGCGCACTACGTCTCAAGCAGTGCTTGCGAGGCTGCGCCCTCCTCCCCGCTCGTCAGAGTGACGTCGGTGTCTGTGTCGAAGGTCACCGTGGCAGCCAGCTTGAGGTCCTGAGGCTGGAAAAAAACACACAAACTGGGGGCGTTTAAGCGTTCTCTTGCCTACCGAGAACGCGATCTACCCGGCCGAGGCGCGGTGATCATGGTCTCAGATGCGCCGATGGTCCAGTCGAGGTCCTGCTTGCTGGGGTCGAGCGCCGGACGCCCGCACAAACTACTCGATCACCCACCCACCCCGCCTACACCCCTTGCCCCGTCCCCGAGCCTGGAGGCCGCGCCTGGCGGGCGCACGCTGCGGGCCCTCATCCGGAAGCTCCTCGCTGCCGCACAGGCTGGTGTCCAAGGTCGCTCCTGGTCACCACAAGACTGCAAGCTCGTCCGTGCAGGTTCTGGCAGCCAGGGCCCCACGAAACTCGAAACTTCAGGAATGCCCTAGAACCGCCGCCCACCCCAAATACGAAGCACTCCTGTGGTAATCACTGCCGTCGAGGAGAAGGTGGGGCAAGAGGCCGCCTTCCTGGGTGCGACGCTTGCCTCGCCGCCTCCCCCCTCCCCCTGCCCCTGCGGCAACGTGGCCGTTTTGTAGGAAACCGCGGTTGAGGGATGTGGGTTGGCTGGGGCTTCACGCCTACCCAACTCATCAGCTCAGAGCATCAATGATTGCAACGACTTGTTTCAGGCAAAGCGTCTCGATGAAGATCGTGTAGGGACAGTTGAGGTCGCTGGGCGCCATAAGGGTTCCCGTCATCGCTCCGTCGATGGAGGCACTAACCTGGGCCGCTTGCTAACCTGCTTGAACACAAAACTTGTAAATCCCACATTGAGCCGCAGGAAGGGGTGCTTGTGTTCATAGCTTGGCTACGAAGGAGCTACCTCCATGCCATCCAAGTTTTGACCGGGCACATTGATGCTGATGTTGGCCAGGGAAAGCGCGCCCGCGGCCAACAAGGCGATGCCTGCATCTGCATTACACACCATGGGACTGCAGGGGCTCCAGCAGAGTCTAGGAGGGTCTGGCACCCGAGAAAGGGAGCGGCGGGTGGCGGAGCATGGACATGCAGACATGCATTTCCACACTGGGCCTGCGACGCCCAGCAACAAGCCCAGGCACACGGACACCTTGGAGCATGTCTTCGAACACCTGCACATGGCGCGATGCTCTCGAGGACGGCCGCACCGCAAACTGGGATGAAGCCGGATTCGTTTCAAATGGCTGCAACCACGGGCACACAGAGACATTTTCAGGCGCCTTGCAACAGTCAAAGCTCGCTTTCTTAAGCTCGACACGCGAAAAACTCACACTATTTGGGTAGTTTGGGTTCCCCTTGTCATGAATCCTAGCCACGTGAAGACGGTAAAGATGCACAGCAAGTCATCTGCCACCGTCGTCGACTCATCCTACACTGCACACTTTTCCAAGCTGCTGAGCACGCCTATACAAAACGCAATTCCCTCAGGCAACCTTGCAAAAGGAATGGTTGGCGCTTGCGCTTCTACTCGCAAGAAGCACGACGGGTGCGACTGCGCGTGCACGTCTCCAAAAGCACGACTCCTTAACCTGTCTCGCTGCACAGTGTACCATGGGAGGTGCACGTCCCCAGAGCTATCCGTCCATTGACGAGTTCTCCGAGTTCGCTGACCCACTCTGCGCATATACTCGCCCTCGCACTTTTCTGGCGAGTCATAGGACGTGTGTGAATTGTGCATGCCTCCCAACAGGCCGGCTGGGTTTGGGGTTGAGGGTTGCTTGACTGTTCAAGGTATGTCTAGTGCTTTGTGTGAACCTGCTGCTCGATTACAAGGCCCGGCCAAAACACGGGAGTTCAGGCGCCCAGGGCAACCTGTCATTTGACGTGTGCTCCGGGTGCTGCCAAAAACGGCACGTGGGGCACGTGGTGCTTCGTAGTGCTGTGGCCCAAACATGCCACGTCTGGGGAATCTCCTTTCGATGTTGGATATGCTAGCTTCCTGGCCTCCCAGAGAATGGGTCAGAATGGAGACACGAAACGGCATCCATCTTCATGGAAAGTTCCCTCCCCAGCTGTCAGCGAGTCTGCTAATCTACAAAAGTCCAGGCCCACGTTACGAGGCCCGCTTTCTTGCTTAGCCCTCGGCTTTGGCAGCGCAGCAACAGCAGCAGCAAAGGCCGATGAAGAAGGTGATGAGGCCGGCAAGGAGGAGAACCACGCCGCAAGCCACCATGATCTGGGCGCTGAACCGGGGTTCAGGCTAAGGCGTAGCTTAAGTTTAGGGAGCTAAGGTTCGGGGCCTGTAGTACGGCAGCCTCTGAACTTCCGAACCCTGGTTTCGGTCGGACATCCCCAAAGCAGCCCTCTTCTTTTGGTCACAGCGGCAATGGCTGTTCCGGCAACCGAGAAGACTTCGCTGAAGACGTCGCACAGCTGCATGGACCACATGTTCTGCACGAGCGATGTCCGCGGTTTTCGGGTTCGGAGCCGGGGGGTTGCAGGAGCTTTGAGGGTTCTGGGGGGGTTCCGATTCTTTCGTTGCGCTGCTGCGCGCACTACGTCTCAAGCAGTGCTTGCGAGGCTGCGCCCTCCTCCCCGCTCGTCAGAGTGACGTCGGTGTCTGTGTCGAAGGTCACCGTGGCAGCCAGCTTGAGGTCCTGAGGCTGGAAAAAAACACACAAACTGGGGGCGTTTAAGCGTTCTCTTGCCTACCGAGAACGCGATCTACCCGGCCGAGGCGCGGTGATCATGGTCTCAGATGCGCCGATGGTCCAGTCGAGGTCCTGCTTGCTGGGGTCGAGCGCCGGACGCCCGCACAAACTACTCGATCACCCACCCACCCCGCCTACACCCCTTGCCCCGTCCCCGAGCCTGCAGGCCGCGCCTGGCGGGCGCACGCTGCGGGCCCTCGTCCGGAAGCTCCTCGCTGCCGCACAGGCTGGTGTCCAAGGTCGCTCCTGGTCACCACAAGACTGCAAGCTCGTCCGTGCAGGTTCTGGCAGCCAGGGCCCCACGAAACTCGAAACTTCAGGAATGCCCTAGAACCGCCGCCCACCCCAAATACGAAGCACTCCTGTGGTAATCACTGCCGTCGAGGAGAAGGTGGGGCAAGAGGCCGCCTTCCTGGGTGCGACGCTTGCCTCGCCGCCTCCCCCCTCCCCCTGCCCCTGCGGCAACGTGGCCGTTTTGTAGGAAACCGCGGTTGAGGGATGTGGGTTGGCTGGGGCTTCACGCCTACCCAACTCATCAGCTCACTTCTTAGCATCAATGATTGCAACGACTTGTTTCAGGCAAAGCGTCTCGATGAAGATCGTGTAGGGACAGTTGAGGTCGCTGGGCGCCATAAGGGTTCCCGTCATCGCTCCGTCGATGGAGGCACTAACCTGGGCCGCTTGCTAACCTGCTTGAACACAAAACTTGTAAATCCCACGTTGAGCCGCAGGAAGGGGTGCTTGTGTTCATAGCTTGGCTACGAATGAGCCCGTTGAGCCTGAGGAAGGGGTGCTTGACGAATGAGCTACCTCTATGCCATCCAAGTTTTGACCGGGCACATTGATGCTGATGTTGGCCAGGGAAAGCGCGCCCGCGGCCAACAAGGCGATGCCTGCATCTGCATTACACACCATGGGACTGCAGGGGCTCCAGCAGAGTCTAGGAGGGTCTTGCACTCTCTGATAAGTGGCATCCGAGAAAGGGAGCGGCGGGTGGCGGAGCATGGACATGCAGACATGCATTTCCACACTGGGCCTGCGACGCCCAGCAACAAGCCCAGGCACACGGACACCTTGGAGCATGTCTTCGAACACCTGCACATGGCGCGATGCTCTCGAGGACGGCCGCACCGCAAACTGGGATGAAGCCGGATTCGTTTCAAATGGCTGCAACCACGGGCACACAGAGACATTTTCAGGCGCCTTGCAACAGTCAAAGCTCGCTTTCTTAAGCTCGACACGCGAAAAACTCACACTATTTGGGTAGTTTGGGTTCCCCTTGTCATGAATCCTAGCCACGTGAAGACGGTAAAGATGCACAGCAAGTCATCTGCCACCGTCGTCGACTCATCCTACACTGCACACTTTTCCAAGCTGCTGAGCACGCCTATACAAAACGCAATTCCCTCAGGCAACCTTGCAAAAGGAATGGTTGGCGCTTGCTTGCGCTTCTACTCGCAAGAAGCACGACGGGTGCGATTGCGCGTGCACGTCTCCAAAAGCACGACTCCTTAACCTGTCTTGCTGCACAGCGTACCATGGGAGGTGCACGTCCCCAGAGCTATCCGTCCATTGACGAGTTCTCCGAGTTCGCTGACCCACTCTGCACATATAATCGCCCTCGCACTTTTCTGGCGAGTCATAGGACGCGTGTGAATTGTGCATGCCTCCCAACAGGCCGGCTGGGTTTGGGGTTGAGGGTTGCTTGACTGTTCAAGGTATGTCTAGTGCTTTGTGTGAACCTGCTGGTCGAGAATCTGCTGCTTGAACTCGATTACAAGGCCCGGCCAAAACACGGGAGTTCAGGCGCCCAGGGCAACCTGTCATTTGACGTGTGCTCCGGGTGCTGCCAAAAACGGCACGTGGGGCACGTGGTGCTTCGTAGTGCTGTGGCCCAAACATGCCACGTCTGGGGAATCTCCTTTCGATGTTGGATATGCTAGCTTCCTGGCCTCCCAGAGAATGGGTCAGAATGGAGACACGAAACGGCATCCATCTTCATGGAAAGTTCCCTCCCCAGCTGTCAGCGAGTCTGCTCATCTACAAAAGTCCAGGCCCACGTTACGAGGCCCGCTTTCTTTCTTAGCCCTCGGCTTTGGCAGCGCAGCAACAGCAGCAGCAAAGGCCGATGAAGAAGGTGATGAGGCCGGCAAGGAGGAGAACCACGCCGCAAGCCACCATGATCTGGGCGCTGAACCGGGGTTCAGGCTAAGGCGTAGCTTAAGTTTAGGGAGCTAAGGTTCGGGGCCTGTAGCACGGCAGCCTCTGAACTTCCGAACCCTGGTTTCGGTCGGACATCCCCAAAGCAGCCCTCTTCCTTTGGTCACAGCGGCAATGGCTGTTCCGGCAACCGAGAAGACTTCGCTGAAGACGTCGCACAGCTGCATGGACCACATGTCCTGCACGAGCGATGTCCGCGGTTTTCGGGTTCGGAGCCGGGGGGTTGCAGGAGCTTTGAGGGTTCTGGGGGGGTTCCGATTCTTTCGTTGCGCTGCTGCGCGCACTACGTCTCAAGCAGTGCTTGCGAGGCTGCGCCCTCCTCCCCGCTCGTCAGAGTGACGTCGGTGTCTGTGTCGAAGGTCACCGTGGCAGCCAGCTTGAGGTCCTGAGGCTGGAAAAAAACACACAAACTGGGGGTGTCTAAGCGTTCTCTTGCCTACCGAGAACGCGATCTACCCGGCCGAGGCGCGGTGATCATGGTCTCAGATGCGCCGATGGTCCAGTCGAGGTCCTGCTTGCTGGGGTCGAGCGCCGGACGCCCGCACAAACTACTCGATCACCCACCCACCCCGCCTACACCCCTTGCCCCGTCCCCGAGCCTGCAGGCCGCGCCTGGCGGGCGCACGCTGCGGGCCCTCGTCCGGAAGCTCCTCGCTGCCGCACAGGCTGGTGTCCAAGGTCGCTCCTGGTCACCACAAGACTGCAAGCTTGTCCGTGCAGGTTCTGGCAGCCAGGGCCCCACGAAACTCGAAACTTCAGGAATGCCCTAGAACCACCGCCCACCCCAAATACGAAGCACTCCTGTGGTAATCACTGCCGTCGAGGAGAAGGTGGGGCAAGAGGCCGCCTTCCTGGGTGCGACGCTTGCCTCGCGGCCTCCCCCCTCCCCCTGCCCCTGCGGCAACGTGGCCGTTTTGTAGGAAACCGCGGTTGAGGGATGTGGGTTGGCTGGGGCTTCACGCCTACCCAACTCATCAGCTCAGAGCATCAATGATTGCAACGACTTGTTTCAGGCAAAGCGTCTCGATGAAGATCGTGTAGGGACAGTTGAGGTCGCTGGGCGCCATAAGGGTTCCCGTCATCGCTCCGTCGATGGAGGCACTAACCTGGGCCGCTTGCTAACCTGCTTGAACACAAAACTTGTAAATCCCACGTTGAGCCGCAGGAAGGGGTGCTTGTGTTCATAGCTTGGCTACGAATGAGCCCGTTGAGCCTGAGGAAGGGGTGCTTGACGAATGAGCTACCTCTATGCCATCCAAGTTTTGACCGGGCACATTGATGCTGATGTTGGCCAGGGAAAGCGCGCCCGCGGCCAACAAGGCGATGCCTGCATCTGCATTACACACCATGGGACTGCAGGGGCTCCAGCAGAGTCTAGGAGGGTCTTGCACTCTCTGATAAGTGGCATCCGAGAAAGGGAGCGGCGGGTGGCGGAGCATGGACATGCAGACATGCATTTCCACACTGGGCCTGCGACGCCCAGCAACAAGCCCAGGCACACGGACACCTTGGAGCATGTCTTCGAACACCTGCACATGGCGCGATGCTCTCGAGGACGGCCGCACCGCAAACTGGGATGAAGCCGGATTCGTTTCAAATGGCTGCAACCACGGGCACACAGAGACATTTTCAGGTGCTTTGCAACAGGCAAAGCTCGCTTTCTTAAGCTCGACACGCGAAAAAGTCACCCTCAAGGGAAGGTGCTGAACAGCTCCATTCGTCTTTTAAACCTCTCCACCCCTTCCGCAAGCTTCGCTGTCTAGCTGGCTGTACGTTTGGGGTAGTTTGGGGTTCCCCTTGCCCTTGCTCGCTCGGTTGACTCATCCTACACTGCACACTTTTCACGCCTATACAAAACGCAATTCTCTCAGGCAACCTTGCAGGAGTGGCGCTCGCGCTTCTAGTCGCGAACAGCACGACGGGTGCGACTCGCGTGCACTCCTCCAAAAGCCCTGACCTGGCTGCGCATTGCACCATGGGGAGGCGCACGTGCCCAGAGCTATCCGTCCATCGACGAGTTCTCCGAGTTCGCTGACCAGCTCTGCACATAGACTCTCCCTTGCGCTTTTCTGGCGAGTCATAGGACGTGTGTGAATTGTGCAATGCCTCCCAACAGGCCCGGCTGGGTTTAGGGTTCAGGGCTGCTTGGGTGTTCAAGGTATGTCTAGTGCTTTGTGTGAACCTGCTGGTCGAGAATCTGTTGGAACTCGATTGCAAGGCCCGGCCAAAACACGGGAGTTCAGGCGCCCAGGGCAACCTGTCATTTGATGTGTGCTCCGGGTGCTGCCCAAAACGGCACGTTGGGCACGTGGTGCTTCGCAGTGCTGTGGTCCGAACATGCCACGTCTGGTCGTTGTTGGAAATGCCCAATTGAAATAATTGGCTAGCTTCCTCACCTCCCAGAGAATGGAGCAGGATGGAGACACGGCATCCCAGCTGTTAGTTTCTTTCTTAGCCGTCTGCTTTGGCAGCGCAGCAACAGCAGCAGCAAAGGCCGATGAAGAAGGTGATGAGGCCGGCAAGGAGGAGAACCACGCCGCAAGCCACCATGATCTGGGCGCTGAACCGGGGTTCAGGCTAAGGCGTAGGTTAAGTTTAGGGAGCTAAGGTTCGGGGCCTGTAGCAGTGCAGCCTCTGAACTCGAACGGACATCCCCAGAGCAGCCCTCTTCCTTTGGTCACAGCGGCAATGGCCGTTCCGGCAACCGAGAAGACTTCGCTGAAGACGTCGCACAGCTGCATGGACCACATGTCCTGCACGAGCGATGTCCGCGGTTTTCGGGTTCGGAGCGGGGGGGTTGCAGGAGCTTTGAGGGTTCTGGGGGGGTTCCGATTCTTTCGTTGCGCTGCTGCGCGCACTACGTCTCAAGCAGTGCTTGCGAGGCTGCGCCCTCCTCCTCGCTCGACAGAGTAACGTCGGTGTCTGTGTCGAAGGTCACCGTGGCAGCCAGCTTCAGCTCCTGAGGCTGTAAAACAAGGCACAAAGTTGGGCTTGGGGAGCGTTTTAAGGATTCCCTCCCGGCCGAGGCGCGGTGATCATGATCTCAGATGATCCGATGGTCCAGTCGAGGTCCTGTGGGCTGCTCGCTGGAAGCCCTCCAAGTTACTCTGAAGATCGCCTGTGAAACCTGTCACTCCTTACAACACCCACCACCCCGCCTACACCCCCTGCCCCACCCCGCAGCCTGGAGGCCGCGCCTGGCGGGCGCTCGCTGCGGGCCCTCGTCCGGGAGCTCCTCGCTGCCACAAAGGCTGGTGTCCAAGGTCGCTCCTGGTCACCACAAGACTTGTCCGTGCAGGTTCTGGCAGCCAAGGCCCCACGAAACCCTAGAAACAGCCAAGAACCACAAGGGCCAGAGCGCAAGACCCTCGCACCCCCACCCACCCACAAATAAGCTCCTGTGGAAATCGCCGTCGACGAGACAAAGCTCCCGCAAGAGGCCATCTTCCTGGGTGCGATGCTTGCTGACGGAATCTGATTGTTGGCACCCTCTACAATCAGCACAATCACCAAGACACCATAGTAGACTCAGTAGAAACAACCCTAGAACATCCTAAGAAGACATACCACCCCAAGCGCCTATACTACTGTACTCTCAATAAAAACATACAAGTAAACTCGCCTCGTCCCTTGCCCCTGCGGCAACCCGGCCGCTATGCTGGAAACCGCTGTGTCGTTGTGCTACTTGAAGGTTCAGGTACTTAAAAACTCAATGATAAGCGTAGTGATAACCCACTTGCAAAGCCCCTTAAGTACCCGAATAGGGCTACAATTGGGCTAGAAGTACAGGTAGAAGGGGGTTACTGAGAACCATGCACCTCCAAGTAGGGTCTCAAGCGACCCAACGCATCTCACCTATGAGCGTCAATGATTGCAACGACTTGTTTCAGGCAAAGCGTCTCGATGAAGATCGTGTAGGGACAGTTCAGGTCGCTGGGCGCCATAAGGGTTCCCGTCGTCGCTCGGTCGATGGCGGCACTAACCTTGGTGTTTATACAAGTACTCATCCGACTTTGAGCCTGAGGAAGGGGTTCTTTTGTCCAGGCCTCGGCTAAAACGGCTAAGACTGAGCTGCCTCTACGCCATCCAGCTTTTGACCGGGCACATTGATGCTGATGTTGGCCAGGGAGAGCGCGCCCGCAGCCAACAAGGCGATGCCTGCATTACACACCATAGGTCATACAACTTTATAGTAATAATAAGAAGAAGAATAATGATAATAAGAAGAAGAAGAATAATCAGAATAGTAATAATAATAAAAATAATAGTAATCATAGTAGTAGTAATAATAAATAATAGTAATAATAATAGTAATAATAATAATAGTAATAATAATAGTAATAATAATAGAAATAATAGCAATAATAGTAAGAATAGCAATAATAGTAATTATAATAATAATAATAATAATAGTAATAATAGAAATAATAGTAATAATAGTAATAATAGCAATAATAGTAATAATAATAATAATCGTCATAAGAAGAAGAATAATCATAAGAAGAAGAAGAATAATAATCAGAAGAATAGTAATTAAAAAATAATAATAGTAATAGTAGTAGTAATAATCATATAAAGGGGTCTAGCAGGGTCTAGCAGAGTTTAGCAGGATGCAGCAGCGTTGGAGCACGGACATGCGTTTCCACACTGGGCCTGCGACGCCCAGCAACAAGCCCAGGCACACGGACACCTTGGAGCATGTCTTCGAACACCTGCACATGGCGCGATGCTCTCGAGGACGCCCGCACCCGCAAACTGGGATGAAACCGGATTCTTTCAAACGGCTGCAGCCGCAGTTTCGGGCGCCTTGCAAAAGTCTAAACCCTTCTTGTCAAGCTCTACGCAACAAATCACGCGCGAGTCTGCCCTTCCAGGATTTCCGTTCCTCGACGCACGTGATCCACATGCCCCAATAACCCCTGAACATTAAACCCTAAACCCTAATCCCAAAACCCTAAACCCCTAAACCCCTAAACCCTAAACCCTAAACCCTAAACCCCAGCTGCGACACCTATCTTTTCCAGGCTGGAACCCGCAAAATCTTTCAAGCGCAAACAATCGGATCATAAATGGCAACCTCGAAAACAAAAAGCAAACAAAGATGCATGGAAATGATGGACGAGGAGGACTCCTGCTATTACTCCTCTCCCCCTCTCCTCTCCATCTCCTCACCTCTCCCCCTCCCCGCTCCCCCTCCCCTCCTAAAAATTGGCAAAAGAGGGTTACCAAGGCCGAGGCTTCACAGTTATATCGCTACCTATCGTCCTGTCTGCTCTGTTTTCTCTTGTCCTTAGTCCTTGTTTTGTTTCTCTTTGTTCTTGCCATTTTCCCCGTGACTCCTTTCGAAATTTTGTTCCCAACTATATAACAGCCCCCTCATTCGTTTTCCCCAACTTTTCACCTTAAACATTTACCCAGAGAGGGGTTTCTACAGATAAACCACCTCATTCATTCCGCTTTCCTACAAGTATCCATATTCCCATCATGTTATATCTCCACCTCATGCATTCCATGACTCTTAAAGCCCTTTCCATGTCACTGCTTGATTGCTTGTTCCTGTAACAGCAACAAACCAAATTTCTTCCCGCATCCTCCCCCTTTCTTCGTTCCAGTCTTTGTCGACTTCTCAAAGCATCTCTGGCTTCCCGTGGTATAATTAGTCCTGCTGATGTAAGTTGGGATGTTCCCCTTTTACTAACAGTCCTTAATAAGGGATTATGGTACCCCTATGGTACCCCCCATTATCATCCCTTCCTAAACCCTAAACCCTAAACCCTAAACCCTAAACCCTAAACCCTGTAAAGGACTGTTAGTCTAAAGGGGAACATCCCAAGGTGTAAGTTAAGCTGGCAAAGACAACGGACATCTTTGTCTCCTGCGACCACTTCTTCGGAGAGGGTGCGACTGACAAGTTTTATTGCCAGTGTTTAGGGCTTAGGGTTTAGGGTCTATGCTTGGGCTTGACAGCTTTCTGCCTTTTGCCAGCGTCGCTTCTTCGCTTCAATCATGGGAAGACCACGAGTGACCAAACATCATCTGAAGAGCGAAACGGACGCACTAATTACCGTGACGAACCAGATGATGATGAACATTAAGAAACTTCACCCTGCACTATCCTCGGCTTCTTCTGCTTGTCCCAATGGTTTTGTTTCAGCAATCCAACTCATCAGGGAGAATTCATCATGTCGAACAGGGCAACTCCTTAACCTTTGACATGTCAAAGATGGATGACATCATCAGCGACATCCAGAGCTACCGCAAGGGCCTCCGAAGGGCAACTGAACGCCCAAATTCTGACAATGATTTTTGTTAGTAAACAAGGGTTAGTTTCACGAGGGTTTGTGAAACCACCCCTTCGTTTCACAAGGTTTTGTGAAATATGGGTTGGTTTCACCAAGGTTAGTCTCAGGAGGGTTTGTGAAATCTCACAAGGTTTTGTGAAATAAGGGTTGGCTTCACAAAGGTTAGTTTCACGAGGGTTTCTGGTTCGAAGGGGTAGTTTCACAAGGTTTTGTGAAGTCGGGATTTCTTCGAACA